CACCCCCCCCCCCCCCTCTATCCACCTCCTCCATCCCTCTGCACTCCCTCCATCCATCCATCCCCCCACCCCACTATCCATCCATCCATCCATTTCCCCCACACCACCATCCCTCTCCTCCATCCCTACACACCCCTCTATCCATCTCCTCCATCCCTCTGCACTCCCTCCATCCATCCATCCCCCACCCACTATCCATCCATCCCCCCACTTCTCTATATATCCATCCCCTATCCCACTATCCATCCATCCAGCCATTTCCCCCACACCCCAGCATCCCTATCCTCCATCCTCACACATTCCCTCCATCCACCCTCCATCCGTCAATCCCACACTCCTCCGGCCCACCCTCCATCTATACACACACCCTCCTTCCATCCTCCAGCCATCCATCCCCCCACACCCCTCCATCCCTCTACACTCCCTCCCTGTATCCATCCACTCCTCCATCCTTCCATCCATCCACCCTCCCTCTATCCATCCATCCCTCCACACACCCACACACCCCACCATCCATCTCCTCCATCCCTCTACATTTCCTCCCTCCCTCCCTCCATCCATCCATCAACCCCCCACCCCTCTATCCATCCATCCATCCCCCACCCCCCTGTCTATGAGCTCCGCTCCCTCCCGGCAGTGCTGTCTCCTCTCACCGTTCCCTGTAACTCGCCCCATCCGTCTGACTCGCCATCAGCCACCCCCTAATTCTACCAGCTTGCCACGGGCCAGAGGCATTGCCTCTTCCCCGTGGTCACGGTGGAAACTCCAGCATCCTCCCTTCCCAGCTCCTGCTCCCGTGATGCGGGGAGGAGACCTTCAATGGGGCCCCACCGAACCGCCGGCTCGGATACTCCCGAGGAGCCGATCAGTGGCAGTGCCGCGGTTGGGGGAGAGCAAATTCAGACAAACCCACCCGTGAAACGAACGTAAGGTGAAAATTCTCCACAACTATGAAACACTTGATGTGGAGCAAAATCCATAGCCGGAGCCCATCTCCTTTCATGATGGGCCTGTCTCCTTGTTTTTCAAGTCCTGCACTTATTGTATCTCCCAAGAGGAGGTGTAACTTGTCTCTTCTGTCTCTGAACAAGTTCTCGGTCGCCTCCCTCATGCGCTTCCTGCTCCCTGATTCTTCCCACGAGCGGTGGGCTTTTTTGAGGACGCTTTTGGTGCAGGAGCAGATCTTTTCCCGTGGGGTTATGAGCATCAATGGCTCTTGGTGGTAGGATAGACTTGGACAATCCTAGAGAAGACGTCCTTCACTCTTGATTCAAGCTCAAATGAACCTCGAAGAGGATCTCCGGTAGGTTGGTGAGGGTAGTCCCATAGGCTCTAGTGGCAAAACCTTTAACATCCCTCTTTGCCAACAAAACCGCCCCCACCAAGACTGGCTCCTCACTCTGTTTTCTAGATCTTCCATCTCTTCATGGCGCTCATGGTAGGCTTGCCTCTTGTCATCCCCATTTGTCTCGTCACTTGGTTTTTCCGTTGACGTCTTCCACCGTTCTCCCAACGCAACCGATTCCCGCATAAGGGCGGAGATCTAACCTGCATCCTGCTGCTTCCTCTTGGTTGTTGGGTTTGGCTCTCAAAGACAAGACAAATATTAGCCGTAACTGAAGTCCCAAGAGGTCTTCTCGTGATATAGGCTTTGGAGAGGGAGAAGCCTTCTACTGTCTTGGGCCATGTCTATGCTACCAAATGAGGTTGACCTAACTTACGTCGACCTACAGCTGTGGCAGTAATTACGTCTCTTCAGCGTGCGTCTACACCATGCTGCTTGCGTCGGCGTTGCGGGTCCTCACCAGGAGCGTGTGTGTGGATTGTCAGACCAGCAGGGGCCATTAGGGGACGGCTCCCCGAAAGCCGGTAATAGTTGACAGGAGCGTCTGCAAGACACGGCGTCGCCGGGAGCGAAATTGAGGGGTCCCCGCTTCCAGAATCGGGATGAGCTCCCTTCTCTGCCTTCTGTCATGTATTTTCCCATCCCAAGCGTCCGCCTCCGCGGTAGGATGAGGTTTATCTCTGATCTGGACGCCAGTTAATTCGGCAGCAAAATCAGGGGGGGTGGTTATTGGTGGCTGGTTTGAACCTCCCCGGCATTGCTGGTTGGAGAAGGAACTGCTGAGACCATCAGCTCTGACTTCCTGTATCCCGCAGGTCTCCGTCTTTGGTCGTCGGCCGCAGAAAGACACCGGATGGACGGAGGAATGCGGGTGCCCCGTAGATCAAAGGAGGCTCTCAGATCCGGCGCTTGGAGCCGGCACACGTTGGGGAGCTCGCGGGGAGACCCCTTCCCCGATCTCTCGTCTTCAGCCCAAATCACCTCCTGTTTGGTCTTGACTTAAAGATCTCCGGGACGGGTGGGCAAGACCTCTCCCGCGTCAGAGCCCTGCGTCTTCCCGAAATGGCTCGCCTCCCTGCCCATTGCCGAACTCCTCCAGCTACTCCTCCTGGCTCGGATTCCCAGCCGGCGCTGCCAGTAAAGGGTCCTGCGCCCGCGGCCGGACCGGGGGACGTGTCTGAAATGCTCCTGCGTTAGCCGCTTTTCGGAGAGCTTCTGCTCATCAAGTGGCGTCAGCCACCAGGCGCCCCCAGCTCTGCGGCTGGACCCCCCCAGGCGGCTACCCGGAGTGGGGCCCTGGCTGTGGGTCGGGGGCGTGGACCCCTGACATTCTCCTATAGCTCTCCACGGTCCGCGTGGCCACCACCTCTTTCCATGCATCCGTCTCCATCCACACCCCTCCAACCCTGCCCCACAGACCCCTCCCCACCCCGGTCCATTGCATCGCACAGATCTACACACAGGGGTATGTAGGGTGAATCAGGACTCCTGGGTTCTTTCCCCAGCTCTGGGAGGGGAGTGGGGACTGGTGGGTTAGAGCAG